CAAATGCTGATCTGCAACCAGTGGCCCTTTTCAAGTTCATCGAGTTCAAGCCTAGGCCTACTATATTGACGCTTCCGAGCATTCCTTGTCCTACTCTTCTGGTTCACAGCGACTCAGACGAGTACCGGGTGGGCCACCCACAGCTTCTGTAATCTCATACATACGTTCAATGCCTACAAACATCTTTCAGATGACGCAAAGAAACAACACCAAAGCCATGGCACCTTCAACAATCATTGGTCTGCGAAGTAACATAAGGTACACTTCGGCTAGGCAACTACATGTACAGATCTAGCCCAACCCAGCAACTCTTGAATTCGTGTTCTTCTTCAAATGGTATTGTCACGGCCAATCTGGATCATCCAAAAAAGCTTCGTAAACAGTAGCAGTCTCTCACCCATCCGACAAGCAAGCTTTCCACTCATCATCGACGTTGAATACTACATGGACGTAATCATTCAAGTGATAATTCAAATCATCGAGCCGCATCTCTATCCAACACTCTACATGCTCGACGGAGTGTTGGATGAAATCGTGCAGCTCAGGCGTAGCTTCCGGCTGTTCGAGGTCGCGCAGAATATCCTGCATACGGCGGCTTGCAAAACGGCTCTGCGATAGCGGGACATCGCGTAGCGCGAAGGCTATGTTAACCTGTGGAGCGCTTCTGCAGAGATTTATGGCCTCTATGATATCCCTTTGATCTGATGATGCGCCCCGAGATTCATACCACTGGTCTGGTAATTGGACGATGAGGTTTCCGCAAGCTTGCTTAGAGTCTGCACCGGTAGGAAGAATGAAGGTCTTGATATAAGAAACCGAGTCCTGACACTGGATGTAAGCCTTGGTCTGCGCCCTGTGAATAGGCATGTACTCTGCTCGGAGCTGGCGGCACACTTGTGTGAGACCGAAAAACTGTCGTTCAGTCGTATTTGTCTGCTCGTGTTGCTGGGCGGGCTTGTGGATCAGACGAACATCGCGTGGGTCTTGTGCGTAGTTGTAGATACGATTGCGGAGCTCTATCAACATACGTTAGCTCATTGTCGTACGGCTATCTTTACTCCTCGAGTGCTAGCTCTTACTCACCTCCGGGGAGCTTTAGAAGGGGGCTCGTGGGTACGCTGTTGACAGACATATCTGTTGGCTGCAAGTTTATGACTTTGGTGTTGAGGTAGCAGAGATTCGAGAAGGAGATAAATATCGGGCTTGTGATACTCATGTGACGCTAAGGAGCGCTTTCGATGGGAAAGTTGCTTTATTACCTGGTGGCAAGGCTGCCTAGATGTACCTTGCATGTGCTTCGATGTGAATGCATTCGACTACCATGATCTTCCGAGGCAGATGTTGCGGCCTCGACATATTCCAATGAATGCATCGTGTAGAGTGAAATAATGTAGTCAGATAAGAGGAAGCCGAAATGTATACAAAGCGTGCCTGGGCCTCTATTGTCGAGGTAGATTGCAACTGCAGAAGCTACATGAACCCCAATAGTCTTCATTCATCACACAGAAAACCTCTGAATACACACAAGCTTCGGCGACCGCCATGCTATGTCAGTTTCTTGACTTTATTTGAACCTTTCGCAATGGTCATGAGAGAAACTGCAACGGCCTTGGATTGCCCCAGTGATCGCTTGGATTGAACCTCCAAGCACCCTTATGCTTTCGTGCAAACCAATATGCGTTCAGGTACGGGATGAAGAAGGGTACAGGTGGGAAGTTTCTACTACCAGGGTAGCTTCTGTCGACACAGCCAAGTACCAGCGGGATGACAAGATTCTAATAAGGCAGCTTATCAGTGTTTTGCTTGATGGTAAGCAGCTAGTGAGAATATTGGAATACGTACCGGATCAGCAGTTTTTGCTCCTTCGTCGGCTACTTCTTTCATCGCCTCCATTACCTTCAGCCCGTCACATTTCCCGAGCCGTATCAAGGTATCGATCTCGTCATGTAGATGCTGAGTGAGGATGGGTGCGAATTCATCGATCAGCCTCTTCAGCTCCGCCGCGTCATACGTTCCCTGTCCAGCTACAACTTCTTCGGCCCACTTCACCAGCCCTGCAATTTTCGGCTCAAACTCATGATGCTGGTCCACGTTTCCTCCCATCATGCCTTCCCAGCCATCTATGCCTGCCTCTCTTGCGATCTGCTCTATCTTTGGAAAGAACATAGCCTCTTCAAGGGAGTGATGGTGGTGCACGGTATCCGCCCATGCGGTGACGTACAGCATAAGATCCGCAACATCGCCAGTGAGTTGAATGAAGGGCGCTTGGTGATATATGGAATTTAGAGCGCGGAGCAAGACGTTGTGAACATTGGCCATTTCTATGGCGACACTGAGAACACCGGCATTCGTGCATATTGGTGCGTTTGGTTGACCAGGAATGTTGAGGAGGGCGAATGGTGTATCCGCCCATGTGTTTGCTTCTGCCTTGGTGTTCATGCTGAAAGTTGATGGCAAACAAATGAAGGGTCAGAAGGGTGAATGTCGAAGAAGGCCACGGATGAATGACACATCGCTGAAGCCTAGCTATAGCCTGGCCTTCGAAACTGGAATGCGATAGGCGCTGCTTACTGCGCATACGCGAATCTGTAGGGCTGAACGGTGTACGCTTGAGATTTTCTTCTTCCGGTTAGCAGGCAATCCTCTTGCCAGCTGGCGTAAGCAGTACGCTCATTACAGACAATGCGCGAAAGACTGTCGGAATCTTACACCCCTAATGCTAATGTCTGCGCATTCATGTTATCAACGCCTTCGGGGATTAAAAGGGATTGCGCTCGGTGGGACCAACGGATTTCTGATTAGGACTCTGCGCAGTACATCTGCTGATGCCATAATGTTCTGCCGTGCTGTTGCGCAGGCACATCGCGACTGCTGCACACTTAGTACAGGTGCTGTTTGTTAAGTCTCTACCTAGGTAGGTGTTCATAACCGTACACCTCTGGCAGAGGTCGAGCGCACATCTCTACCTTGGTAGTCTGAGACTGCGCAACTTTTGAGAGGCTTTGAGAAGATTCGGCTTCGACTGCGCTGGATGCTTTGATGTTGGGAAGCCCTGGCATTCGCGCAACAGGGAAATGAAGGGCGAACTAGAGCCTTGGCAGATGACATAGCTTCTCGGTCCCTATCTTGAGCAACTTCACGGCGGCGTGGCACCTCGTTGTTTCATCAATACCACCGAACAAGCATCCTCCCGACTGCTCGCCGTAATCCGCGCATAATGACGTTCTGAGAACAGCGCCCCCAGGAATCACCATGCGTAAGAGCAGAGGGTGTGGAAGTGCAATCCTGAAGAATGCGCAAGACATCTGCAATCCAATGAACAATTGAGCAGCGAGCTCATAAGAACGATGTGTTCTTCGAAGAAGGTTCCACGCGCCTCATGGCACGGACGGTAGATCTGCCGATCGTTTGATCGAGAGAGATGACCCCACGCGTCCGCCATTTCAACTCACCAGCTTCACCAAAACTGATGAGAAGGGACCACAGCCATGCAGACGACCCTGTTTTGTTTCAATAAAGTCTAGACCTGTTTTTGTAACCTTGTTTCTTGTCCACAGGCAGACATCATGCAGGGCCAATCCCCTGTACCGCTCGCAAAAGAAGGAAACAAAGAGATGTCTGTAACGGTCCGTCACCCACAGGGGGTCCCTCATTTCCTATCTCCACACCTTGCATCACCGTGCTCCCGACCCCACGGTGATCACTTACAACTCTAATGCTTAGCGTATGACATAGAGAGAGGTAATATAGAAGATGGGCCGCTCGTTCATATTCTTCTCTCGATAACCGACCATTCACAACACTAAAGAACTCACTGCTTTGGCGCATTGACTTGTGTAGACTCCCCTTCACCTGTCTTTCCCTCGAGTACCGACAAGCGCCAAGTTCTCCCATTACCGACACGCAACCTGCTGTACCACATCTTCTCCACATCCCTACCTTCGAAGTCGGATCTCTCAGCCAGAATGTACACCCAAATGCTCTTCAGCGCGTTTCTAGCGACGGCGCTCGCGGCACCGCTAGTCCAACGGCAGTCACCCAAGACGGGAGCCAGTGACAGTTGGCAACCCGCATCCGACACAATAACGACATGCGACCCCGCCTCCGACTCCGATAAATTGCTCAGCTTCACAGCTGATCCCAAACTCGAGACTATCCTCAACAACGCGTGCGCCGCCATGATGCCCGGTTGCGCCTATCCAGACCGCATCCCCACCGGTACGCTGTGTACCGCGACTGTTGACTACCCACTCAACGGCGACAAGAACAGCACTCAGGATGCCAATGTAGTGGGTAGCGACGGTAACAGAATTACCGACTATGCTGTCAGATGTAAGAAAATCTTCTCCAATTCGCAGCACCCAGATGTACTAACGAAGGTTATAGTTGATGTTACCCCAGCTTCCCAACCTGAGGACTCTGCTGGTGTCTTCTGGAAGGTCGAGGATTGCTATGGCTACTTTGCTCGCATGCTTCAGAAGGAGGGAAAAGAGGGATGTCACAACAGCGTCGGATCTGGTTCCGGTAATGTGACGGTCGGCGGTGATTCATCACTGGCTGGTACCATCTTCAAGGTCTCCATTGTTCCTACGGAGAGCTTGCAATAGCTGTCCATTTTTACTTTCTTGTTCATTTTTTAGGGTATTGCTGAGCTTTGGCGTCACGATAGGCGCGTACGGATCATGGATCAAGCGCTGTGCGCATTGGCGTTCTATTGTAGCAGTCCCGTTGCTATTCATTTTATGATTGTCACGCTTCACGTCAGAAATCGGTGAGGTGTGCATCTTCTACATTGTTCCTGCCACACCAGTGTGAAATTGTAGCAGCCGCATTCACTATGAGTTTGGGCAAGTTCGACTGCTTTGGACGTGCCGGTACGCCGTCCTTTCCACCAAACGCATCCAGATCACTCTCACTTGATCAGCAGCTTAACTCGTTAGCTTACTCAGGATTCATACACAGTATCGCATTAGTTACAAAACGCGAATCCTCTCAGCACAATGGCGCACGATTACCGCTCACCACTCGACAACGCGGACGAAGAGCTGGTAAAGTACAAGAACCCGTACCTCAAAGGCATGGGAGATCAGAGCATATGTACCATCTGGCCGACCGATGCACCTACAGACTACATACGCAGCGCCACCGTCTTCCTCGAAGCCGAATACGCAAATCCCGATTCGCCAATCCACCAAGACCCTCCGCTACCCATCCCACCAGATCCCGACGACAACTCACTCAGACCCCTCAAAACCGACGACGATGTCTTCGACGCTGCTCGTATATGGCTCAAATGTCCTCTCGATCACGCCATCGTGATGAAATATCCTACTCAACTCGTGCAACTCAATGGGTGGGTAGGCCACAGCCGGGTGACACTTTACTATGAAAAGTTCATGGGGACACATCAACCGAGATTGCTCATGACTATCAAATGGCTGTTTCCAAACACACTGGATGGCATCGTTGAAGGCGCCACGATCGATCGACAGTGGGTGGACGAACCGAAAGCCTACAAATGCCCATACATTGCTCTATGCGATTACGATAACCTCGTCCTTTTGAGGTTCGGGAACGTCTTGGGGATTGAAGGAGTACGGGTTACCGCTGTTTCAAGAGATAGTATGCGTCTGGCGTTCTTGGGATTTCTACTTGAAGCTTGCGATGTGGTATTAGGTAAGCCAGGGAGTGGCCTATCTTGATTCGGGTCTCTTCTCGTAGCTTAACAGTCTACTAAAGGACTTCTGTAATAGATAGATGGCTAGGCAGATCAATGATAGCTGTTTGGAGGTCTATAACAAACCATTTTCTGTACAAGCCCTGGGATTGTCACGAAGCTCGCAAAGCCTTTACATGATCTGATGACAGGAGTTAACTTCGGAGGCATCCATAGCATCCTCCATAGGCGAAACCAAGCAAATATGGTGGTGTAGAGCACAGGCGACGAAGGCGGTGATGCGGCTCCATGCCAAGTCGGCGCATACGTCATCACCAGCCCTCGGTCGCTCACCCCTGTCCCCACAACACCAACCTCGTTACTAAACAACAGCTGCGGTTGCCGACAGCCGCGACATCTCGTAATGAGAAGAAGAGCCGGGCACCTCCGCTACCACATTTCGACCGAGGAAAAGAGTCCGCACGCTTGGCAACACGTGTGTACCGATGCGCGTTCACGATGGTTCCTGTCGGCCCGGGAAAGCTACCGGCGACATGCACATGTGTCCGAGTCTGGACTGTTTATGAAAGCGTGGTACTGTATAGTGGCTTGGGAGTGACGTGCCACCAGCCACAGTTTTTTTATGTCAAGTAGAGGGAGGCACGTCCTCATTGCAAAATTATTACCATCCCTACCTTGTCTACGCCATACACCATACACCATAATCTCTAATCCCGACACAAGGTGCAAGCTTGGTCAAAATGCGCGTCGCCAGTACCGTCCTCGCTCTTTCCTCCGCCGCATCAGGCTTCATCCACCCTCGTCAAGCCTCTTACAACGAGACGAACTCCACGCCCAATGTCGCGGCCGCACAATATGACGGAACCTGTTTTTACCCCGTCCCTGATTCCAAGTTCAACCTGAACGCGTATCTCGGTACCTGGTATCAGGTCGCTGGTACACCATTCGGTCCTACAGCCGGCGCACGCTGCGTGTCCGCAAACTACGAGCTCAACGTACGTATTTCTATGGATTTGGATCGCATATGCAGCGGTTGACAGCGGATACAGGACAATGGCACGGTGCGCGTCACGAACACTGCGACTGTCGGCCCACGAACTGTCGACATCGTCGGCACAGCCACGCCCGTAGACTCTGCTTATGGCGCCGGTGGTGCTTTCGTTGTCAGCTTCCCTGGCACGCCATCAACGGCAGAATGCCCAGGACCAAACTATATTGTGCAAGGTGAGTCGTATAATGAGCAGTAATTGACGTACACGACCACTAACGTTGATGCGCAGATTATGCCGTCGATTGGGCGATTGTCCAGACGCAGAAGTGGAACACGCTGTACATCCTAAGCAGGGTGCGACAACCAGCCGCTGAAAGCATCGATGCATGGATTGATCGCGCTGTGGCTTTCGGATCGAACGCATCCTCGATCATGAAGTTCAACCAGACGGGCTGCGAGTAGGTGTAAGTTGGCAGGGAGGAGATGAGGAGGATGTCATTGCGGTGACGCCCATGTGAACTATCGATTTATGCAGGGCCGCGAAAACTTCATCACATAACCATCCAAGAGAAGGGCAAACCGACCATCTGAGCACTCAACACTCCAGGGATACATGTACAATAGAGAGTATATACATCTTCCAGGCCTGATGCCGATCAATGGGTATCCAATGACTTCCAAAAGGAACAACAACTCCGGTTACGCGTTGTAAAGCTTATGACGACTGTGCAGCAGACGCGCTCTGCTCATCAACCTCAACGACACTCTTCCCATCGTCTTCCTCGCCTTTCTCAATTGCCATGACCAAACCCAGACCTGGATCCACGCTTGTCTCAGAACCGTTCTCAAGCTCAACGTGCTTTGCTGGAGCATAAGGATTGAGCGGATCCCAAACGGCGGGAATATAGCGCTCATCGTCGTGGTACTGATCCGACAACCACTGTTCCGGGGGGGAAGCAGGACACCAGCCCGGCCCCGACAGAGCGATCATTAGACCATCCCAACGCACCATTGGATTCAGAGGTTTGCGATACTGTTTCGTAAGAAGCTTGTGGGTTTGACGCATGCGGAGCTGCTCGTCACAAAGAGGATGGGTGCGGACAGCAGAACAGTTGAAGTCGAACACTTTGACCGTCGGACAACTCGCCTCATCTGCTTCGTGGAGACCATTGATCATGATGTTTCGCGGGTGAAAGTCGCAGTGAACCACGCCCGTGTGATATATCACAGACTCGGCGTCTAGAACCTTCTTAAGCACCTCGGAACGCTTGTCTTGCGGCAAAGAGCTGGGGCTGATTTGAGACATCGGCCGCCCCGGTAAATGTTGCATCAGAATGAGTGGAACATGACGCGTGTGCTTCTGGACCTTTCCTCCTTGACGGACTGCCACATTGATATCTATGGTCCAGGTTCCGTAGAATGCGGGTGTTACGTTGCGAGCCGCTGCCGACTTTTGCAGCTCGACATATGCGTAGGCCTCGCGACTGTAATCGCCATACGCTTCATACTTGACATGTTGTTTGCGGCCGAAATCGTTGATATACTCGTAGTACAGCGGATCGTAGATCTTGGCAACCATGTCTCCGTTGACCACTACTAGCTGCGCGCCTTGGTCGTAGCTGGTTCGGATAATGGAAGTGATGGCGAGTGATTTTGTTTCGTGACCGATGGTTTTGCCGCCCAAGTCTGGTCTTGACAAGCAAAACTCCAGTAGGGGTATGGACATCCAATCTTCCCGCTCATTCTGGCATTCAGTGTCGTAAAAGTCATAGCCAAAAGGCTCTGGAGGCTCGTGTTTTGTTGCGATAGCTGAGAAGCCCACGACGTATGGCAGCCTCGGTCGTTCCGTGAGGTCGGTGTCACTATCGTCAGAGTCGCTCGCTCGCTGTTGCGCGCCATGCTTGGATGGTCGCACGGAATTATCTGAAGTGACCGACGAGCTTGGGGAGTCACTATTGGGGCAGGGGAGGTCAGAGCCATCGGGGGCTGCGTGCGGTGAATGCGGAATCTCCATCCTGATATGTGTGCTGGAGTTGGAAATTTTCATGAAGTGGGATGGATGCAGAGGCGGGTAAAGTAGGGAGATGGTCCCAGGCAACCATGGAACGGTCCAGCGCCAGCCGCTTAGCGTCAGCGCGCAATCACGTGATTTGCATTCACTCTCTCGACCTTTTTGGTCTTAGCTCTATTGCTGCGTATCTCTAAGTGAGAGTCTACCCAACGGCGCAGTTGCTTATATAGAGAATGTCCGACTCCTCACACTTGCCAACCCCTGACATACCATTATTACACAGCTCAGTTCGTGGAGCCAACTTTATCAGCGACTTGTACGCCCAATTGTAAGCCGTCCAAGTAACATGAGGTCCAGCAGTCAATTCTCGGACGATTCTTCTCCAGCGCCATCAGTCATCGGTTCTTTCAACAAACCCCTTCCTCAATTGGACACTGATTCTCAAGCCTCATACATAGGGGTCTCATCTTCGATCTGGTACAATCACCAACACCACAGAACCACCGCGGACATTGTGTTATGTACCGATAAGTCGTTTGGAAAGAACTGCAGAAAGCTTCTTGTCTAAAGAGCGTCTCATAAGAAAGGGGCTTGAAAAGAAGCACATCTTCTCTACTTGTCCGCAGTTTGTCTAATACACTGAGGCTGATATAGTCGGTTCTTATTAAGCATACATTATCCAGTCTATCATAGGAGTCTTCAACGTTATGTTTGGCGACAAATTCCTCTTTCTGCAAGAGCCTTTGTAGTAAACGGAAGTAGTTCATAGAAAAGACGGCGCGAAAACGAGCGTGCGATTCGAATTCCTCTTCAGGAAGCGTTCGAAGAGCAGCCCGAACGGTCAAGGAGAAGTCATCGCTGTTATCAAATACAAGCGACGCCGGTCAGTTCGATACAACGACTTCCAGCCTGCACTCGTGGCAGAGGGCGCTCCGCCGGAGAAAAAGGATGTTCTTGAAGGAAATGCGGGTCCATTCTGCAAGCAGATTAGGGCCTATGCTACTCGCACTGGATGCGAACATGTTGCGTTGCTTGATTGTAATAATCTGACCCTTATCGAGTTTCATTGGCTGGGCAGGGGAAGGGGTGGAGATGAAGCGAAGGTGTCATGGGTACATGAGAGTGATGAAGGACTTGGCTTCATAGAGGAGGGCTACATCCGTAAGGTCATCTTAGGCTGGCTCGTCAAAGCATTCGAAGATGCGGGGATGGAATTCAAGAGCTAAGCGGTCTAGATGTGTTGAACTTATTGTGCGCATTCAAACTGCTAAGTTTGGGGCACAAGATGTCATCTAGAGGGCGCGAGAGACGTCGGGAGAACTTGTCCGGTTAGCGATTTGGAAGCGAAGAGACCCAAAATACACATACGTTTGCAGTTACACATGTTGCCATACTAGGTGTATACGTGACTAGGTTCGCGCTCTGCCTACAAGTACCCCATGCAATGTATACACCAGCCTACGATTCACAACTTCGTATATCTCGAGGTGTCCGCGCATACCTTCAGACTATTCAGTCTGCACAGCTTCATCCTGTAATGTCATCTTTTTCATCGAATCGCGCCATGTGCAGCATCGGAAACGTCTATGTCCTTGACAGCTCCAATCACGGCCTCATTGTCTCCCTTCTCCAACTCCCTAGACCAATCAATCCTAGGACAAGCCTTCCTATCCCCCGCATCCCTAACAAGCGGCACATACTCCTCCCTCTCCCCAAACCACTCCCACAGCCACTCATTCGTCGTCTCCGCCTTACTACCAACCCACCACTTGAACGCAAAATCGCCCATCGCATTCCAAAACCTCGTTACGGGACCCACTATCCTACCAGGCCATTGCTGTCTGATGTATGCGGAGTCGGAGTCACCAGGACGGGGTTCGCTGAGCCGAATAACGTTGGAAACGTTGAAGTCGATGATGACAATGCGAAGGTCTGGGTCGTCGAGGGAAGATGTGGGTGATGGGGAGACGAGCATGACGTTGCGAGGCGCGATGTCGCGGTGCAGGACACCGGCGGCGAAGATGAGGGACTCGGCTTCTAGGACTTTCTTCATGATCGTCGAGCGGGTTTCTGTAGAGAGCAGATGAGGCCGGATACCCGTCATGACAGTACCGAGTATGTTTTCCATGAGTATGAGCCGAACGTGTCGTGTGTACATCTGGCCGTCCACCAACGTGTCTACGTCAATAGTCCAGCTACCATAGTATTCCGGGACGACGCGCTGCGCCTTAGAATCTCGTCGTAGTTCATCGTACGCGGCAGCTTCGCGGGAGTAATCTCCGTCCGATAGAACGACAACATCGCGCTTGTCGTCGAAGATGTCGAACTCGTCATCGTAAAGCGGGTCGTATATCTTTGCTACTACATCGCCGTTGACCAAGACGACTTGCGCACCGTATATGGAGCCGGTACGTATTATGTCGGTGATGGTAAGCGTGTAGGACTCTTCGAGCGTACATATTTCAATTGGCGGTCGGATAAGGCAATAGTTGAGCTGCGGTAGTCTGAAGTGGCCTGTTTTGAAAGGCGGCCATGGAGTGTTGTAACCGTTACCGAAAGGCGCAGGTGGTACGTGACGGTGGGCAGTGAACGTGGCGCCTACAGTGTAGGGCATAGCAGGTCTACGGTCGGCCTTGTTGTACGGGTGGTGCAAATTTTCGAGATCGTTGCTCTTCTGGCTCCCTACACGACTTTCCGATTTATTCAAAGCGATGTCCAGTGACTCAGAACTGCCCGCTGAGGGCGTCATACGGCGAGAAGAGCTCGTCGTCATGGTGGCTGGCGTCTGATATCTGGGGCGTTTGACCTGAGAGTGTAAAAGTATCCGTAAACCAAGCTAGAGCAATCGGCCATACGCCATTCTCGCAAACGAGGGTGAGCAGTGAAAGCGCTTTTCGTGGTTCCTGGTGAAAGTGAAACGACTCTGAAGACACATGTGAAGCCATGTTTGGCGAACGAAACCCTCATCTGACCGTGATCCCGAGAAACCAAGCATATAATCTCCCTGGATTGTTAGTACTAAGTATTCGGTGAAACGAGAACGAAGCAAATGGCATTCCAGAAATCGGCAGACTTTGAATGATACCTCGTGAATTCGTCGCGAGCTCATCCAAAAACCGGACGTTGCCCTACAGTAGTAGCATCTGACTTCGGCACCTGAGAAACAGGCTGTTGAGCTACAAGCTGAGGACCCCATTGTTGCACAGGCTGCGGTCCCCACTGCTGATAAGGTTGCGGCGCCCACTGCTGTGGTGTCGGCTGACCCATCCATTGTTGTCCCGGCTGCTGAACCCACTGCTGTCCCTGTGGTCCAGTGTAAGGCGACGGCGGACCAGGCGGCTGCATCTCATACACACTCGCAAACGCCGCATATCTCCCCTTGCCGCCAAACGCCCACTTGACCCCTCCTCTCGCCCGTACAAGAACCCACAAACTGACAAAGACTGATAAA